AGGAAGACATAGATGTCCAATACCACTACATTCAGGATATAGTTGAGAAAGGTGAAGTAACTATTAGTTACTTGCCCTCATCAAATATGATCTTTGATCCATTAACAAAATGTCCAAGTGTTGAACTACTGTCTAAAGACACTAGTTTAATGAGACTTAAAAACTTAAGTCAATCAGGTTTTTAATAAGTGAAAAATCCACATTAATGTAAAAATCCTTATGATGGATATTTGTTATGAGAAGTATATCTGAAAAAACGTGAAAAAAACCTCATGACAAGATATTTTCTTAAAGGTCATACTCAAAAGTGGGAGTATGCATGTGAGTTATTATTATGCTCGGCCATCATATCTAAGTGGGAGATATTGATACGTATGGCCATGAGGCCTCGTATGATTTAACCTACAATTTTGGGTTTTATTATATTATCCATAATTATCTATATTCTCCAACGTTCATGTGGATGAGTTGGAAGAATATCCCTGAGATCTAGGAAAACTTTTTCTCAAAGACCTGTTGGAGAAAGATAAACGTTAGTCATCCTTCTCTCTATAAAAATGGGAACAGAGAGAGGGGAAGATACAAAAAAAAAAAAAAAGGTAACAAAGCTTCCTTTATAAATAGATAACTTTTCTTCTCTCTCTCTCTCTCTAAAAGGCAAAAAATATTTCTAATATAAACTTTGGGCTCTATATTCACCAGCCTCACGGCAACTCTCCTCTCTGATTTCGGGTTTGGTCTCATCCGCACCATCAATTTTCACTAGTACGCCCAATCGCCTATATCTACTAATTGTTCCCTCTCAATATGATTTTGAATGGTTTGTATAAAGAGAGAACAAAATAGATAGATAAGAATTCCATAAGGAGCGGAGAGAGCATCTCAATAACTGAGAGCGCTCATAAAGCCATAGACGAACAAAATAATTGAGATTTAGATGAAGAATTTGAAGCAAAAGAAACATAAAACTATTATGCAGCAAATTCGTCACCATCATTAGAAACTTTTCCCAATTATTTGGGATCGGCTGTAAGAATTCTAATTCGCTATTCTACTATTAAGTGCCACCTTCATTGAGGCCATAAGTCTTGTACAATAGTATATTGAATATACTATATTCTCTTATTTTTGGCGTAATTTTCTCTTTTTATTAATATAATCAATTAGACTGAGGTGCTCCTTGTAACAAGAGGCCTATGAGTGCTGTAAGATTGAATTTCACCATAAAATAAAAATAGAAGGACAATTGTTGAGTTTGACTTGTTCTATCCGTATTTCTTCTCATTTTTATTATTAAGCAAATAGGTACCTAGGTCTCTTGATTCATAGGGTTAGCTTGTCAAGCAAAAATTCTAACCACTGATAGAGTGCAAATAGGGTTTTCGTGAATGTAACAACCGTTTTTTAATTTGATGTAAAGCCCAAATCAAAGATCATGGTCATTTATTCATAACATGTGCCTATGTAGAGGATATTTAGGAAGCACTCATGTTAAAAATTCAATATTAGAACCATAATCGATTTAAGCTATCATCATCATCCTCATAATTTTTTCTAATTAATTGAGATTAGCTACATGAATCTTGGTCCGTTATTCTCCTCTATTAAAAGTCAAAATTGATTCAAATATTGAAGTAATTTTAACCAATTGGCTCCAAAAAAAGTTTCAAAGCGAGAGCTTTGAAAAGCTTTAGAGAGCATCCCTCCCCACTTCTAATGTGGATAAGCGGTCAAAAACACCACCATACCACTGACGGGGCATTAATGGAGATGATAAGGAAGATTTCAAAAATAATTTCTCAAGAGATAAAAATAACTCATCAAAGAATAAAAGAGAAATAGCAATTATGAAAGTTGGAAACTATAAGTTTCTTAGTGAAGCTTTTAGTGAGACAGAACACATGTAATGAGGTGCCGATAAAATACGAGACAGAGTGAGAATCTTTGTAAGTACTATTTAAGCCCACCACACTTATAAACTGTTATACATATCATGACCTTTGGATTAGCTGCACAAAATCCAAATTGCAAAAAATAAAAATAAATAAATAAATAAATAAATAAATAAATAAATAAATAATAATAATAATGGAAAAATTTTATATAAAATCGTAACTTTATATTGTAAAAGTAAGGTGCATCTAACAAAACAATAGAAAGAACGTTTTGAAGTTGGTAAACTTTCCAATTTGTCATCTCAACCTTATATGTATATAAAGGATAAAAAAGAATTCTTTCCAATTTATCATCTCGACTGTATATGTATATAAAGGACAAAAAAAGAATTTCTAATTGCGCGTCAAAAACCAACACGGTTTTCACGGAAAAAAAGGTCATCGTTGTGTTTCATTTTTTGCTTTACCATTATTTTTAAATAAAAGGCCTCCATTGTTACACCGGTTATTTTTTCTTTAGAGCAAATAAAGACTAGCTTTATATAAATGCAGGCAACCATTGTTACACCGGTTTTTTTTTCTTTAGAGCAAATAAAGAATAGCTCTATGTAAAATGGCGGCCACCATTGTTACTACAGTTATGTGTGGCAAATTGGTTAGTACCCTTGGTCTTTATTTCTCAATGACTTGGCTCTATTTTGAAGTTATGTTTTCTATAAATCTATTAAAAATAATATTTTTTAACTCTATATTTTTTTATGGCTTGGATTTATTTTGGATCTTTTTTTTCTATGACTCTCTTAAAAAAACAATTTATGCTGCGCGAGTCTATAAGAGGTATTGAGTTCGATTGGGGGGAAGGGGCTACATTTTTTTTAGAATTCTTTATATCTTAACTATTTAGAAAACAAATTCTTACTTCTCGTGAATTCTAAAAAATGACCCTCATTTTTTTCATAATTACTACTTTCTTTAAAGCTCTTTTTTTTATAACTCTTAAAAAACAATAAAAATAAAAATCTTGCATATAGGGATGTCTGGAAACCCCAAAAGAAAAAAAAATGCACACACACTCTAGCAAAAGTAACATTGGTTTTTGAAATTAATTAAATATGACTATTTTTAATAATTTCTCTTGTTCAATAAAGAAATATGTTTCCATGACAAAATTCCATCTAACATGCATGTCTTTAATAAATCAAAACACAAAATGCACTAGAAAGAAATGAGTGAAATGGGGTGAATTTATTTCAATATCGTAAAAAAATAATAATAATTGGAATATTATTGTTGATAAAATAGAGAAAAATATTAGATTTTACAACTTTTTGATTGTTCATCGATATTAATTCTATGATGCACTAAATCAGTCAATATTGGAAAAAAAAACTACTAATCTATATAGAGGTTTTGAAGATGATTTCAAAAGCTTCAAAATAAATTAAAAATCACAAAAAATTACTAAGTAATTAGAGAGAAATAATATAATTGGTGATTTTTTCACAGACTAACGATGTACCTCTCTGATGCACGAAAGCAGTCGACGATGTAGAACTAAAACCACTGATCTGTATAGGGCTCTTGAAGCTGATTTCAAAAGCTTAAAAAAAGCCAAAAATATTCTGCTTTGGTATAGGAATCAACAAGAACAATGAAGTTTGGCGGAAAAAAGAAAAATCACTTATAGAACCCTAAAACCATAAATTTAAGGTGATTAAGCTTGATAAACACGAAAATTAGCAGAGGGCTTTTGTAGATAACTTCATTAGATTGAAAAAAAACCCAAAATAAATCAATTTCATGGATAAATAAGAGAGAACGGAAGATATTGACGGATTTTTTTTTCATGCAAGAATAACCCTAAAAACCCGATAATTTCTCGACAAATTGTTGTTCAATTTGGGTTTTGATGAACCCAAATCCTATCATAGAGATAATATTGATGTTAAAAACATGAAAAGGTTCCAAAAATTGATCAAAATCACTCTCAAATTTTGGATTTTCAGTTTACAAAAGTTTCCCTATTATAAAAAACGAGTTTCATCCGCTAATAGCGAAAAATCGGGCAAGTTTCATGTTTCTTGAACCGAGTCTTCCATTCTTTTTAGCGATTCTTGTACACTCAATGCACCATCAGCTACTGTACCATGGACTCGGGGGCCCTCAGCCTCAGCAATAGGGCGAGGCCGATTCGACTCGCCTGAGTTTGAAAACTATGGTTGCAGCTGAACATGAATCTTTAAACCATTTTAAGTTTTCTGACATTGGTACCACATCTTCTAGTAAAATTTGAGGTGCATCTTACTTGTATAATATAAGGTGGGCAGCTTATACAAATATCACCCAAATAAGAAAGGACCTGGTTTCTATGCGGCCAAACCCGCATATGTAGAAATGTGGACCTCTTAATAAATCTATTTTTGAGATGGACTTTATAACTTAATTTTTAAAGACATGTAATCTCTAATATGGAGATCATGAATATGAAAAAATAAATTAAATTTAAAAACTAGAAATAGATTTTCTAGAAAGAAAACCTTTGGACCGGTGGTTTCCATTGTTTTTATATGGAGCACATACTTGCACCCATCTTTAAAAAGGATGCTTTACACTTTCTTGACCACATAGACAATGCGGTCCAACCCCGATGAAACAAATTTCCGAGTGTACATTTAATTGTGTATGAGTATTTTTAGGTCCCCACATGAGCAACCTCAAACTAGTGCCTAACCCCACCTAAAGAAGAAAAAATTTTCCGCTCATATTTTATAGGGATAATAAATTGTACGACCATTTATTTTTATTATAAAGAGGTCACAATCCATCCTAACCATTGAATATTAAATTGGATGACTTGGCTTAACCATTGAATATTAAATTGGATGACTCGGCCTGTGGGAGAAAGTTTTTAAACACAATTAAGCTTAGTACACACTATTAGCCATCCGATTTAAAATATAATTGTGGCTTTATTATACCCACGGTAATAAGTGTCTCTTTGCATACTTTTTCTATTTACATGTGCTCCCAAAGTTAACGTGAGAATCCCCAGTCAAATTTTGACATAAAATTATGTTTATTCAAAATACTTTTATCTCAAATTTTTATATAAAGAATATCTTCCTAAACACTATGCTCCCGCGTGAGTAAGCAACGAACCGAATAAAGATTCAATCCCCATATAGCAAGGTATCGCCCGGTATTTACCCTAAAACAAGATGTAAGAAAAAAAGAAAAGAGAAGCCCAAGTCCTCAATTAAGTTCAGGATTAGCCGGGAAATTGAATTGCCGGCAACTTCCTCGACAGGATTAGGAAAAGATCCAAGAAAAAATGGGGATCAGAACTCTTCTATCTCGAACTTTCCGGCGAGTTCTCCTTCTCTTTCTCCTTTTCCCGGTGATTTTCCCTGTCTCTGGCTTAGGCTTCGCTGGAATCCGCCAATTCCAAACCCTTGTTTCTCTTTCGAGCTCCCTCATGACCAGAGTGGCCAACGCTAGGGCTTCGAGGGGGGACATCGACGGCTCTGCTAGAGCGAGGAGGATGGCCGAGATGCTAAACGGACGGATGGGATTCTCCGGAGGCGTTTGGTCGATGGCCTGGGATTACGCGCAGAACTACGCGTGGAGAGGAGGCGATTTTCGACCGTCCGATCTCTTCGAGGCGGCGAAGGAGATGGAGGAGATCACCAGGGCTTTCTCGCAGGTTTCGGGGACGGGTACCCAATTGGATAAGCCAGTTTGGGTTTCCAGAAATTATGAGAGGATTTTAGGTGCTTTTAAATCCTTCTTTAAAAGGCTCCTCCTCCGCTTCACTAGAGCGGTGCGTAATATCTCTTCTTTCTTTTGGATTTTTATTTTAAATTGTTCGAAATTAATAAAGTAAAATGGTTCTCTTTGCATACAAGTTATAAGTAAAGGGAAGTATAGAACGAGACCATTTATATCAAGGTGGTCGCATTTATCTTGAGCCTTGGATGCGAAATTGGGTTGGTGCAATTATTCCATTGACCAAACTCAAACTCCAAAACAAATTTTCTCAAACTATCAAATTTCACATTAATTGATTGTAAGGTATTGTAACCGCCTTTTATCAAAGGTAAATAGTTCTCTTTGTATACAATCCCATAAGTAAAATGTATATTTGAGGGCCCTTGTGGTGGGCTTTCTCACTAATCTTTGAACCCACATGATTTTTTTATATAGAAAAGAATGGAGGAAATCACCCACATGATTTTTTTATATAGAAAAAAATGAAGGAAAATGATTCATATAGCGACTCCAAATCATTGGGATAAGGTTGTGATCATCATCATCATCGTCATAGCCTTTTTCCAATTAATTGAATCCTGATCTGCTATTCTGCCCTTTAGTGAAGCTATTCTCCTGAAATCTTTTCTCGGGTCATACCTTCAATGGAGCTATAATTCTTTGAATCTCTTTTGATGGCTTCTAACCATATCTTTTTGGGCCTCTCCCTCGCCTTTTTTGAGCACATTCTATTTGAATTACATCACTCCTTCCTAGCTGGTGTTGTATTGGATTAGGATTAGCGCTCCACATGGTCAGATCATCTAAGTCTACTATCTCTCATCTTATTGGCTATTGGTGTGACACCTAATTTTTCCCTTAATCCGTCCATGTCTAGATAAAAAGGCCTTGTGTTAGGTAGATAACCAATGTATAATTTTGCCTAAACTTATAATAAACTTATAATGAATCCTGAACCTGCAGTAAGACTTGGATGATGTTATTATGAAAAACATTTTGATAGGTTATCGAAATAAGTAAAGTTGCACATCAAAACGAAAATGGTAGTTTTGGTGTAGAAATCTTTCAAATTGATATCATGACGTTGACTCATCCCGACCTTGACCGTTATAGTTTTAGAAAAAAAAATTAAAATTTGAAGCCCTAAAAATATATATATTATAACACATCATCTAAACGGTCTAATTTTAAGGGTTCATGGTTTCACAAATCCTATACTATTTTTTTAAACTATATATTTCATCATCGGTACTAGAAATTAATTTTAGAGCCATCATATAAATTTCTTGTGCCTAAAGTACTTCCTGAATGAGATTTCGAGCTCACGCTTTATTTTTTATTTTCAGCCTAGCCCTTACAGAAATTGCATCCTTTAATTGTTGCAGGGGCCTTTGAGGGAAGCGATACTGGTTTTGCAAAGAGAGGTGGCGGAGGGAGATTTGTTAAGGGATTGTATGGAAGTGAGTATGCAAGATTTGAATGCAGTGGTTAAATTGGGAAGAGAGATGATGCTTCATTACTTCTCTCACTCTCCAAATCACTCCGATCTTTGACAGTAATGCTCTTTGAATGGTAACGTACGACTTATCATTAATTCATATGTAAACTACAAGATGTTCAAGCAAAGACACAATATTACAAAAATGAAATAACCAATAGAAAGAGAATAAGGACTCCTCCTTTGGCAAGACCATCGGCATCTTCATTCACATCTCTATAAAAATGTTGAACTGTTGCTATAAAGGTTGACAAAATATCTCAAATTTGATAAAAAATAGTCTTTAATCTCGAAGGAATATAAGCCTTTCTCTTACTCCAGGCAATGACATTTGCCGAGTCTTTTTCGATCATCTTACCCCATTCCAAAGTGCATAGCAATTTCAAACCTTCTAATAAATCTCGTGTTTCCGTCTCATTTGCTGTTGTGATACCACAAAGACCCGAGTAAAAAAATATAATATGACCTAAATTATTTTTGATGAGTCCACCATCGCCAGTTGGCTCTGGATTGCCAAGTGAACCTCTATCAAAATTAAGTCTGAAGAAATTCACTGGTGGTGGTATCCAAACAACCTCACTACTATTGTTAGTGATAACACCCATAGCCGCCACTGTCAAGGGATTACTAATGATAAGAATTTTAGGAATAAATCCACTATCCTTATGATGAGTCCATCGTAGCTAGTTGGCTTTGGATTGCTAAGTGAACTTCCATCACAATTAAGTTTGAAGGAATTCACTAATGGTGGTGTCCAAACCTCACTACAAGTGTTGGTGGTAACACCAATAGTCGTCACTGCCAAGGGATTGTTAATGATAAAAATTTTAGGAATAAATTCTATATTATTATGTGCAAGGAACCAATCAGCTGCAACTGCCAAAATATTCGATTTTAATGTAGACAGATCCGTACTTATACTATTAAAGACTCTTCTATTTCTTTCATTTTACTCATTCCAAATAAGGCTAACTCAAATAGATTTCCAAAGAATAGTTTCCATCATTGAAATATCGGGTGTGATCCATTGGTTAAGAAGAGCTTTGACATTTTGGGACAAAGGTAATGACAGATTGAGGCACTGTCGAGCCCAATCCCAAAGATATGTAATAAAAGAGCATGAGAGGAAAAGATGCTGCGAAGTTTCATCACTGTCTTAGCTTATAATACATACATTGATGATAATAGATCCCCTCTTTTTCAAGTTGTCAACAAGTGCTAATTTATCTTGATACAGAATCCATAAGAATAGTTGCACTTTAAGAAGCACATGCAATTTCGTAATCTTGAATAAACCAGCATCCAAGTCTTTCCAACGATCAGAAAATAAATGTAATTCTTAATCTTGAATAAACCAGCATCCAAGTCTCTCCAACGATCAGAAAATAAATGCAATTCTTAATCTTGAATAAATCAGCATCCAAGTCTCTCCAACGATAAAAAAATAATAGATTGTAGGTTGACTTAACGAAAAATCTCCCGAAGGGGTAATATTCCAAATAAAGCTAACATCCATATTTGGAGTCAAATATGTATCATTCAATAATTCCAATAATGTCTGATACTCCTCAAGCTCTAACCATTACTGTGATGCAAGGGGACCGTTATTTTGATGCGAGGTCGTGGTAGATAGCCCTATGTATTGACTGGCGTTATGATTGGGAATTTATAGAGATGGACTATTTTTATTTAAATTTGAAAATCTCCTCGAATACGCATATTGCAATTGTTGAAAGTTAAAATGAATATAATATTAAGGGAAAAGTTTACATAGAGCCTAGGGTCTAAACAATTAAATTAGAGCCTATCTCAAAATTTTCACTAGAGTAGGTGGTTTTGATACCCAAATATCATCTAATTGATCATCTCGACATCAAGATGCACGGACATGAGAAAAAAATGGATTTCAAGTTTTGGAAATAGTACATCTTGTAACGCATTTTTGGACCATCAATTTTCAAGATTTTCAAATTTTTATAGATATGCTCGATTTGCACTATTTTTTAAGTTTTAAATTTTATAACTAAATATAAAAATATAATTTAAAGCTATCACAAAACTTTATAGTATTGAAACCATATTTCTCGACTCTATTTAAAGGTAGGCTCTAATTTGATTATTTAGAGCTTCGGCTCTATACAAACCGCACCCTAATATTAATTGTTAATTATATGTGGATAATTGACTTAATTTCAAAGGTTTTTATCTCCAAGGGTTTTGAGAATGGGATACTGAGGTGTAGTACTTTCAACATCAAAATATTATAGACCTCTTTTTTAGGGATTTTGTACTGTGAGACTATTTATTTTTCTTAAAAGTCATAATTACTTATAGCTTTTAGATGCCCAATCAGATGACTACGGATATGTCATAAAATTTGATAATTTTTTTTTAAAATTTTAAGTCTAGTCAATGACAATTATAACCACCTGAGTTAAAATGGGATGGACAAGGGTGTTTGTGTTGTACCAAAAGTAAATGATGGCTTTATATATTTTCTCTTTTGTGAGTTATCATATGATTTTGTACATCCATCGGAGCAAATTATCTATTTACTCCCTTGAGCAAAAAAAAGCTATGGGTATTTCGGATACTTCTAGGGGCCCTCAAGGCTATATCCTCTACTATTCGCAGACCCAACTATAAAATAATAATAAAGAAGATTTGAAACACACTCTTTGAACCTAAAAATAGTAAGAATTGCCTACAAATAGACCAATTATTTTTTGTACATGAAAGTCACAATCATTTTTATCCTTTAAGTTTCAAATTGGGTGGTTGTAAGAGTATTATTGAACAGACAAAGTTCCAAAAATAAAATTCTCAAACTTTGTGATTCACCCCAAACCATTCAATTTAACATCTAATGAGTGAAAATGATTGTGACCTCCATATATAATAGATAAATAATTTCTTTATAGTCAATAACTCATCCAATACTTGGACAAGATAAAGTGTCAGCACACAAAATGCAATTTTTCTTTTTCAAAACAATCATCTTATGATATTTAGATCCCAAATTTTTGAATCCAAAGATTACTCTATATACAATTTTTACCGATATTTAGTTCCCAAATTTTCGAATCCAAAGATCCTTCTATATACATTTTTTACCCAAAGGGTCAAATGATAAGTTTGCTCCGCATAAGCATAGTATACCCTCCCAATTCGAATATAATTTTATTTTCCAGTTGCATAACCCACATGTTCCCACTGGATCAATACCATACATCTACTCCCTTAAGCAAAAGACCTACATCTGAAATTTTAAGAACCACCTAAGAATGACCATTTGATTATTTACAAAATAGAAAATTTGAATTTAAGTCTTGGATCTCACCCTTGAAAACTTAGACAGCTTCTCTTCAATCTTGAGAGATCATTTCTTTCAATGGAATAGAGTTCTATTTGGATTTTTTTTTTTTTTTCTCTTTATCTTTTAATGTTAAATCATGTTGAAGAGTTTATATCCCCCAATTTGGGATCCTAAAATTAATCCTGGATTCGGTTTAATGTGAGAAGTAAATAAACAATATGCTCTTATATTTTGGCCTTTCTAAATACAGCAAATTTTGTTACAATTTTCCAAAACATCATCTCAAATCTGTGGCAACAAAAGTTAAGTCCACAATCAAATACAATAGGTGGGTTGGATTAACGAGAGAGAGAGAGAGAGAGAGAGAGAGAGAGAGCAATCAATATATCTAATTCTTATAAATTAATCCAAAGAAGAATATTTTGACATCATAGTTGGGTTTAAGCAAATGAAGCTACAAGAACAAGGTATGTCTACAAAGAAGAAAATTTGCTTTCACAAGGAACTCATTCTATAGAAAACAGCAGCCTATCCCTACAATTTAGAAAAGAGATGGTGGAAAAACATACACACACACTCACAAAACGAAAATAGAAACAACAAAATGCCCCCAGAAAGATAGACCATAAAATCCAAGGAAAAGAAAAAGAAAAAACAAAGAATAACATAATACGTGAACCCCAGGATAGGAAAACAAATAAGAATAGAACCAGAATGCGAAAAAAGTCTCTAGTCCACCATGTCTAAACCTCTCATGAAGAAGAGCAACATGCTCTTTTCGTTGTTGTTGCCCCCTGATCGGTGACCACAATGGTCTTCCCCTCTTTGATTCCAGTAGGCACCGCCTCCTCAGAAGCAAGGGCCTTCTTGCTAATTATGCGATGAATTTCAGCCAATATGGTTTGAAAAGCTTTCTCCACATTGGTAGCATCAAGAGCTGAGGTCTCCAAAAATGATAATCCTTCTTTCTCAGAGAAGCCTTGAGCATCCTCAGTGGCCACACCCCTAAGATGCTTGAGATCAGACTTATTACCAACAAGCATTATCACTATGTTGGAGTCGGCATGGTCTCGAAGCTCCTTTAGCCAACGCCCAACATTCTCAAAGGTGGTAGGCTTTGTTATATCGTAAACAAGCAATGCACCCACTGCTCCACGATAGTATGCACTTGTAATTGCTCTGTATCTCTCTTGCCCAGCTGTGTCCCAAATTTGTGCTTTTATAGTCTTGCCCTCAACCTAGAAAAAAAGCATGTCATGGTGAAAGAGACACCAGGAGACAGTTTTGGATACGCACAAACATGCAAATGTAGTCAGGATGTCATGCCTACTCTCCTAGAACTCTCTAAAATAACTAAATATTTTGAAATGTTTTTGTGTTTTTTAAGGAAGCATTCTAAAATGATCAAGTTTGGTTTGGTCTTCTTCAGCTTTGGCTCGAAACCTTTAATGCTCATTGACAGAGAAAAACCAAATAAAAACAAGGCAATCTCCATGGATCAGCATCCAGAAACAGGGATCATCAGTGATATGTGCAACATTACTAAATGCAAAGGAGATTGTTGATGCAAACTATACAACAGAAATGTCTAAAGATCCCACATTATAAGTACTTCGAAAATTTGTCGCTTTGCCTCAATATTAATGGACGGACGTTATACAATAATTAGAATTCAAATGAATCAAATAACAGAGGAGTCCCTTTTGCAGGGAATTGATGCCTGGCTAGCTATAGAGCTCAGAATTCAATCAGTGATAGATGAAATCTCAGGTATGTTCAAACCATGGAGTGAACCACTTGAAGAAGTGGATGGAGCTAGATCAAACAGACGCTTGAGTCATTGCAAATGCTCCACCATGTTCATGTGATAAACTTGTTCTGATCTCCTCATGCTATTTGTACATAACATACAAAGTCCCCATCATAAGGGCCAGTTACAAAACAAGTCCCCTGTTACTTCTTCTTGTAGCACACAATTTCTTGTAGAGGTCATGTAAGGTCCTTGACATGGGTCCTCCACTAGTAGAGGTGATCCTACAGAGAGTGTTCCCCCTCTAGAGGTATTTGTCACTCATTACATCTAGAGTACCACCATATGCTTCTTAGACACAACTCAAACCTAGTAGACTCTAATATTCACCAGGACCATATGTATAGCTTTACTTTAACTAATTAATAAATTTGATTTCATAACTTATTCAGGGCCATAGGTCAAATTATAGAGTCATATATTAATCATCCATAATTTCATGAATTATAGATTTCAATTCATAAATTTAAATGTTAGAAGTTTCAATGTAATTGAACCTTTCTCCAAAAGAAAAGAAAAACGAGAAACAATATAATGGAATAGACATGCTTTAAAAATTTGAGCAATAAAAATTGGTTGTTTCAAATCCCAACTAGGCAAGTACTTCATTGTTATGTAAGATCAGTGGTTTAACAGCGAGTGACTCCCAATCCGAGTCGCCGATCGGGACCAAACAGGTTCCGGGATGGTATGGGTCCCAACCTGGTCCCCCACTAAAACCCCTTCTTATAATTGTTTGTTCTTGTTTTTAAGCTTATCTAATATTTTCTTAGGTCCTCCCTAAACCCCCATCCCATAAGCTCTTATTTATTTATTTAATTTATTTCTTTTTTAATATTTTTTGGATCACCGATTCAGTCCGATCCAAACCAATCCGGATAGCCAATCCAACGATCCGACATAGATCTATGTGGTAAACGATCCACCCCACCAATCGAGGTTTTGAAACACTGAGATAGAGAACTCAATAAAAAGTATGGAAGTGTGGATATACAAAAATAAGAAAGCAATAACCATGAGGACCAAATTAAAGAATAGTTACAAAAGAGAATGTTTTTAGTAGGTTAAGGGACAGACGAAGATCCTTTCAAATGAACAAAGAAAAGTATGAATATAAGATAATGTAGCTCATGGTTGTACTACTACAAAGGTCATGCAAGCTTGCAAAAGTACAAAGGTCATGAAAACGACCATAACCGATCCAATGATGATTGAAGCAGCTGTGATGCAGCCAATCGCATGGGCAATGGTGTTGAGTAGGCAACACCATTGCTCACACAACAATGATGAGAGTTAAATTCATATATCATCAGCATGGCTGCAGCAATGCTCACTCTTTGTTTGTCTAACTCTAAGGATGGAATGTGCATCCTTAAAACAAAGTGATACTTTGTGTAAAGAGCACGTGCCATGAAATATGGAAAACTAATTGTACGTTAAATCATATTACACAGTACATATAAAACAAATCTTCTAGAATTTTCAATATAAGAGGTGATATAACTGTGTTGTGTATGCTGTATGTGCTCAAGCACATCTAAATGTTTATATATATTTTGGATATTAATAAGTTTCATACAAGTGTTAATAATAAATTACTAAATATGGTGATCTAAACTATTTCTCGTTTCCCTGATATTTTGATTCTTGGCAAGTTTTACTAATTTATACTCCTTCTGCTTCTTTGTCCTTCATTTTAAAAGAAAAGCAGGGGATCAATATGCCCCTTAAGTTCTGTCTTCACAAAATTGTTCCCGATCTTCTCCATTAGGCAGAACAGAAAATTTCAGTAACTTTGATTGCGCTATTATCACCACATTCAAGCCAGATAATAAAATGTGATCACTATATTAGTTCCCAAATTCAATTAACTAATTCCCACTGACTGTAATCGATCAGTTTTTGGAGAGTAGATCCTAGTTATTATTCTCTATGCCCCTAACTTGGTACCAGCCATTCAAATAAGAAAATGTTCAAATCAAGATCCAAAGGAGGGGTTTCTCCATCGATGAACTCATAAGCACATATATGTACTACAAACAGAATAAACTTTCACAAATGAAAGCCCATTGTAGCACAGATGACGAGTTATGAGGATTAAATCAACCCATAAATCATAAAAAATACATTATTATGAGATTGCACATTATGAAGCAACAAAGCATCACAAATCGGGATGTCCACCATCAGAGATGAATAAATCAAGTTATAACCTATAAATACCACAGATAATACTCCTAAAAGTATAAGTAAAGCATACCAACCACTAATGCATTAGTTAAAAACTATGATACCAAAAGGAAGGATAAAACAACTACACAAAGGCAGATCTCGAAATTTAAATAAAAGGGAGCAGCATTCTAGCCATCTAAATTGTCCAAACACCATTTCACAACATTTCTGAAAACCACAACAACCCCATCTAAACAATTCCAAAAGAATAACAGAAAACAAAACCCGATGTATCTGATCCAATGCAATTGTAATGGAATATGCAGGAATAATCTATGGATCTAACATGATAAAAGAACAAGCATTTCTAATAAGTATCAGCAAATTCATTAAATCCCATCTTTGATGTGCTCACAAAAACCCATAAAAACAGACAAGGAGAAAAGAAGAGACATAGTGAGATATCTAAAAGAAACCAACTAATAAATAAGAAAAAAAAACCCAATAAATATGAAACAGGCCATACCTGAACAGTTCGAGTAGCGAACTCAACCCCAATAGTGGACTTGGATTCAAGGCAAAACTCATTTCTGGTAAATCTAGAGAGAAGATTAGACTTCCCAACACCTGAATCTCCAATCAAAACCACCTTGAAAAGATAATCATACTCATCATCTGGTCTCCTTGCCATTTGATTTCAACCAAAGAAAGTAAAATCCAAAGAAAAAGAAAAGAAAATCAAAAGAAAAATAAGACTTCTATGCAGATCTAGGAGAACAAATAAAAAGAGAAAGAAAGGAAGAAATGGAGAGTGGCGTGCTGTTCCCCTTTTGGCTCCCCTGCGTAGAGAGAGATCCAAATGGGAATGGGCGCAGTAGTTTCTCTCTCTACTCTGGCGACTTAAATGGGTTTTTTTCTCTTTGAGTTTTCAAAATAAATAGAGAAGCTTAAACATATTATATTAAGTTCAATCGATATGTCATGGTCTTAATGATCTCTCTGTTAATAAGTAATGTTTTTCTTTAATTTATTTATTGTTTTGGGGGGGTAAAAAGAAGGCTTGCGATTCGAATCTCACGCCCCTCCTGCCCAGGAATATGAGATTTTGGAGGGACCGAATTTTAGTTGCACGAGGACGATTTGGTATGGAGCCGAGGCTCTAAACAATCAAAACAAAGTGCAGCTTCAGCTTCAGATAGTATGAGAAACATGGTTTCAATATTGAAAACTCTTGTCATTAACTTAAATTATATATTTATTTTTAATAATAAAATTTAAAGCTTAAAAAATAGTGTAGATCCAAGAAATCTATAAAAATTAAAAAATCTTGAAAATTGACGGTCCAAAAATATGCCGAGATGATCGATTAGAGGGTTTATTTAACATTAAAACAACATTTCTGATAGAATTTTGAGGTGTATTTGTAATTCTACATTTTAACGTTGCAACTTTATATATAACTTTTATATATATATATAAAATATGGTTGCTATATGGTTGCAACCTTAAACAATCCAGACGCACCTCCAAAATTTATCATAACATGTAATTTTTATATAAAAAATTCATAGAATTATCTTAAAATATATTTTCATATCTAATTATAAAATTGTAAATTTAAAAAATAGTTAAAATCAAGTAGATCTATAAACATATGGAAATCTTGAAAACATACTGTCTAGATAATGTGTTGCAAGATACATTATTCTGGAACTCCAAATTTTTTATTTCTTAATATATATTCATACATCTCGATGTCGAGATGAGGGCCTTTCAACATTAAAACAACCTTTAAATTTAAGTCATATGAATAATATATTTTATAATATATTATTTGGACAGTCTAATTTCACAAAATTTAAATATTTATAAATTTGCTCGATCTATATCATTTTTTAAATTTTAAATTTTGTAAATGGGGGTGCAATAGATTTTCATATGATCACATTACTTTTCAGCACTGAAACCGCATTTTTCGACAAAATTGACACCTTACACCAACCTCATTCCATACCATATCGAAAACAATATTAATATTAGGGGGCAAATAAGGTGGTCATAAACTATGCAAAAGTTATATGATCGACATGAGCAAGATTATCAATCCACTTCTTCGGGCGAAACCCTAAATAAAAGTGCTTTTAAGAAATTAAAGTTTAGGAATGTAACCTCTTTAACCTTAAACATTTTAATAAGAAAAATCGCACATACTCTATGTGGATCTGTTCGACCCACGCCAATGGATCATTGATAAGAGACCCCTATAATTTTTGGATGGTTGTGTAAGAACTCAAACATTTTTTTTTTTCTTTTGAAAATAATACCTTGTTGTTTTTGAATTTGAGATTTCATGTGGAAAATCGTCATGCAGAGATCATGTCTCGAAAATTTTACAGTTAAAAATAATTTTTTGATAATAAATGTACAGTATGCTCCTGTGGGCCGACAGATGAATGTAATGCTTCCACATATTTTAATGCAATGCCTTCCTCTTGATTCACTAAAAAGGCGGGTGAGGTTCTAGAGACGCAATTTGGAAACTAATAAACTTGTAGCATTTCAATTTTTGAATCTATGAATTGCTCGACTTTGAGTTTTCTCATTTCATATAATTTTATGCTTTTCGAGTTCTAGAGACCCAATTTGGAAACTAATAAATTTGTAGCATATCAATTTTTGAATCTATGAATTGCTCGACTTTGAGTTTACTCATTTCATAAAATTTCAAAGAAATGTTTATTTAAAGTGAGGGTATTTGAGCCATTTTCAAATAAATTTGGGCCCACAAATCAATTATATTTCGTTGCTCGAATGGCAAGCCAACGGCGGTAGCATGTGCACGGTTTGCGATCCTCACTTTCACAATCACACCATATTATATGAATCAAAATTTACCCTCCAATTTCTCTCTCTTCTATTTTAGAATGATCATTTTACTCAACAAAACATGGCCAGAATTTAAAATTTAGAAAAACATTAAGACCATTTATGTTTAGTATGCCAAGGTCACGAGTAATCTTAATTATTGGATGTGAAATTGAGGGAATATATTATCAATTTTTTTTTTTTTTTTTTTAACTTTGTGATGTTCCTAAGCTGTCAATTTTCACATCTAATGGTTATAAACTTATAGGCAATCGTGACTTCTTTATACCAAAAGGTAAAAGGACAATGATTTCAGGCAACGGTTGTATAGTAGTATAATGCAATAATCTTCAAAAACCATGTTATCGCCATTTGTTTTATCCAAATTTTGAAATGGGTGCAGCTGGCATACGGATGCATCCGTAGTGTAGAGGTAAGTGCACTTTCAAATTTTATCATGGTATATAATTTTGATGTAAAATGTTCTTAGGATTATCTCAAAATATATTTTTATATAATTACAAAATTTTAAATTTCAAAAATGGTTAAAATCAAGTAGATCTATAAACATATGAAAATCTTGAAAATGGACGGTGTAGATAATATGTTGTAAAATGCACTATTTCTGAGACTTAAAATGTTTTTATTTTTCACAGTCATACATCTCGATGTCGAGATGATCAATCAACGGGTTTTTCAATATTAAAACTACCTTTTCCGATGGATTTTTTAGGGCAAACCGTAGTTCTACATTATAAGGTAGCATCCTTTTATAAACTTTTTCTTTTTATTTTTCATGATCATACATCTCGATGTGGAGATGATCAATCAAAGGGTTTTTCAAACAATAAAACTACATTTCCCGATTGATTTTTGAAGTGTATCCGTAGTTCTACATTATAAGGTTGCATCCTTATATAAACTTTTTCCTTATTAAATTATGATTTGGTGAAATTGATTTTGCTAATAAAATTTACTTGACAAAAGCATATAATGCAATAATTTTATGTATAAGTTTATTCTTTTAAGAAGTTAAGTTGTTTTTAATTTATTTTAAATAATTTATTTTCTTAATACATTATTCAGAAATAGTTAATAATTATTAACTAATTATAAATAGAGAAATTATCACAAATATACTTTAATTTTTGTATAATTAAAAAAAAATCTACTTTTATTAATCTCGTCCATACTTTTTTTTTCTTTTTTTTTTTTACCTAAAACAATTTTCATGGTAGTCGTATTACTGTGAAAGTATGATGCATCATGATAGTTAAAGTATCATGATAACTATCACATGTTATAGAGTAAAACGTGATGTCTTGATGCATCATGGTACTTTTAAGTACGGTGATGACTCTCACATGTTTTACAGTACTTAAAACACCATTATTATATTTGATGATGATTACAGTAAAAAATTTATTATTATTACAGTATTTTAAATATCGTAATATTAAAAGACATCATGCCCACTCTGCTCAAATTATGTCATTCAATTTACGTTTTGCCCTTAATATTAAGTTTTGAGGATTCGGGGCGTGAATTTTTAATTGGAAAAATTAAAAAAAAATCCTAAAATATACTATATATGCAACTTACTCCCCCTCAAATCATTTTTCTCACCTTTTTTTTTCTCAAAACAACCTTTCATCTCAAAAAGCCCTAAAGGTAAAAAGTTGTTATTTTTTTAATATTAATACCCTTCACGTACAAGCCAAATCAATTTGCGGGTCCCAAGTCCCAAGTAACGTACTGCCGGATTGTGTCTTTGTACTGCCGGACCGCGTTCTCATAATGTCGGAGCACTGTGGCTCTGAGCTGCACTACCGGAGCGCACATTGAGAATGCCGGAACGCGGTCCTCCATTGCCGGAGCGCTATGTCGGAGCGCGTGTGAAAATAAGAGAGAGAAGGCCGTGTGAAAACAAACAATGGTAGTTTAGTTTTATTGTATATTACTTTTCAGTTGAAGGGTTATTTGTGAAAAAGAAAAAATTTAGAAAAAAAATCGAAAAAAAAATACGGATTAAGGTGTTTTTTTTGTAATTTTTCCTGTTGAATTTGTTGACTTTGCAAGACGGCATGCCATGTTCCAATTCTACTGCAGAACCACCCAAAAGAAAAGAGTAAAGTGAGCTCTCTCTCTTTCTTTTTTTCCTTTTTTTTGCTTGGACAAGCAAAACTCTTTCTTTCTCTCTTACCATACCAAAAAAAAAAAAGGAAAACACATATTTATTGTCTTTATTTACCTGGAAACGAGAAAGTTAGAATGCTCGAACGACTTACGCACAGGGCGAGTTAAAGCTATGTGCTGCCTTCGCCTTACTGCTCCACCTAGGTCACCCTTCCAAAAGGGACGTACCTCAGTACTACCAACTTTTGATAATAATTGTGGGGAATGCCTTTTGTTTAAAAAAAAAGCATTTCTACCACCTTCCCACCCATGTTTCTCATTTTTTTTAGTGCCTATTTCCTTGTGACACGCACTGAGTTCATTTCCCTTATATATTCTAAAGTATTAAATGCGAGATAATGGATTGATTCATGTGTGCATAAACCCAAGGCTCAAGGCTATAATTTGAGACGACGACGCCCTTTTGCAATATTGCAAGGTTGCAGTTGGCATACGGATGCATCCGTAGCTGTAAAGGTATGGTATACCTACAAATATTATTATGGTATATAAGTTTGATGTAAAATGTTCTTAGAGTTATCTCAAAATCTATTTTTATATTTAATTATAAAATTTTAAATTTTAAAAATAAGTTGAAATCAAGTAGATCTATAAACATATGAAAATCTTGAAAATGGATGGTGTAGATAATATGTTGTAAAATCTTTTTATTTTTCATGATCATACATCTCGATATCGAGATGATCAATCGAATGGTTTTTCAACATTAACTACCTTTTTTGATGGATTTTTGAGGTGCATCTTTAGTTCTACATTATAAGATTGCATCCTTATATAAACTTTTTCATTATTACAATGATGCTCTTTAGCATCATAGTAGTATTTTTTACTTTAATCATTAATCAAATA